CTGCTGGACACGTGACGGGGGTGCCACCGCAGCTGCAAAACCCAGAGCCGCCGTGCTGCAGGACGCTGGGCGCTGCACGCCGTGGGGGTGCCTGGTGCCACCACGCCTGGGACAGCCGGTGCCGCTGTGCTGTGGGGCATTGGGTCACACAGGACCCCGGCACTGCCGCAAAACAAGTCCCCAGCACCTCGAACCTTGTGTCTGCCTCTCTGTCCCCTGTGCCTGGTGCAGCACGTGGCCGCTCAGAGCCAGCGCTGACTCTACTGGCACTTCTGCCCCGAGGCGCTGGAGCTGGTGATGGGCTCCTGGTGCTGCGGGGAGGGGATCGATGCTGGAGGAGGCCCTGCGGTGCCACCCTGCAGGTTAATCCCAGTCCAGGGATTAACATTGTTCCTCTACCGCCTCCCTTTCCCTCTGCCTCAAGCCAGCCCTGCAAATTGGGTTGGCGCCATGCTGTGGGCAGAGCCGAGACCAGGGCTGGCTTTTTAAGCAGGCCAGCCATATTTTGGGTGCCTGGCAATGTGGCAGCCAGGCAGGAACCACTATAAAAGATTTGGGACTAGTGGGGACCATGGCCTGGGGGGGAGTCTCGGGGAGGAGGCGCATGCCCCATTCCACCCCCAGCACAAGCACAGGCAGGGGCAGGCCCTGCACTGGGTACCTGCAGGGTGTGAGTGTTACAGCTCCTTCACTACGCTGGGCTTTTAGATGAGACAGCTGCCAGCGGGGAGGTACAGACCCCCACCCCTGCAGCAGGTTTTACTTTCTTCAAAGAAGAATTTAGGAACGGAGCAAATAATACTGTTTCATTCAACCAGGAAAGCCCGCAGGGCCCAGGGTGAGCGCGGCTGGGGCGCTGTGACCCCTCTCTGGGAGCGTGCTGTGCCAGCGCGTGCTTGTAACTGTTTCGGACAGCTGCTCCATGGCTGCCCAAACCCGGGCAGCGCTGTCTACGCATCACCCTGGTGCTGGGCTGCTCCCAGCTCCTCTTCCCTTCCTTCAGCCAGCTGGGCCCGGGCTGCACGAGCCGGGACCCTCTTGCACAGCCTT